AGAAGCTCGGTAACTTTTGACCAGTGCACTGGACAATCATTTCTTTCTTTGGGCTGAATTGCTAGACATCAGCATTGATATATCTGCAGGCTTAAATATAAGAGTTGTGAATTTAACATTTTTGCACACAGACAGGAAGGTCTCTTACTTCCCTTATGCATCCTTTGGTCACGACCTCCACATCCCATTCACACAGAGGCAGATCACTACCTTAATTTCCAGTATGGTTTCATTCAAATTGTTGCATTGCCTTTGGATGCTTTATTTCACAGCCATTTTCTGTGAGATTTATAGCCAGATAGAAAGCTTTGCTCTAAACTTTATTTTAATTCGAATGATTCTATTTTTCACTTTAAATGCTAATACTGAAGAATTGGTGTAAATAGTTCATGTATTTTTGAAATTGTATTGTCCTCAGAGCATGCATCCTATAGCCAGTACATTTAAAAGAAACCTGTCTTACATCAGCAATAAAAAATAAGAATTTTTATATATACATTCATTCCCAATTAAGGTACACCATTTGTTTCAGCCCTGGTATACTCATCATGATAAATATTTTGCAATTAATATAGTAAAAATTTATTACACAGAAGACCAAATCTTGCTTAGTTACAAATGCAAATAGCCTATTAGTCTTAAGTGCAATTTTAGAGTTGCTGCTGAGAAGAAATTTGAACTGTACATAATTTTCTGCAAGATAATTTTCCACTATTAAGAAGTGTAAAATAGCAATTTGTTTACTGAACATTAAAAAAAAAGGTACTGGATAAAAGTTCCTTGGAATCTCTATTCATCCTTAAACTACCCTTTTGTTTGGTAATGATATTTGCCAGTGGTGCCTTTAATCATATAAAATCTGGTGGGGCTTCCTTACTACCCTAAAGCAAAACATCTCATTTAGCACAGCTTCAGTTATCTCACTGTATTGATTTATTTATTTTAATTATTTATATTATTTCACATTTCATTTTAAAAATAAGCAGGATACATTTATTCTCATGAATTTACAACCATAATCATCTAACCAGTGGAAGGTAAATTACTAAATGTTACTTTTCCTCTACTTGATGTTTTTTTTTCAAGATGCCACTTTCAACCTCAAGTATTCTGTATTACCTAAATACTTATTATGAACAGCAGGAATAATCCTGTCCCAAAGCAACTCATCCCAGGATTACAAATCTTACTGAAATCTGTGAATACAATAAAGACTTGCTATTTTTTTCTATCTCAAAGACTCAAACAAGTTCTTTGCTTCAAGGAAATCACAAAGCTGAGGCAAGCAGAGCACAGGACACTTAGAATACACCAAGAGAAGCAAGTATTTAGGGGTTTTTTCTTTCTCTCTTGCACATGATTAAGGATTGGAGGGCTGAACCTGCTCCTTACTACAGTCCGTGGGTGAGCTCCAGCAGTATTTGCCAATTTGGTAGCTCTAAGACAAATGTGGGAGGAAGTGGAGGAAGAGAAAAAAGCAGTTTCACTGCCATCAGTACCATAGAAGTAGACACAGCAAAGAAAAAGAGTGAGAGGGCTGCATGGGGACACAAGTTTGTTCTATAGAAGGCAAAGAAGAGCAAACAGCAGCTACAAAAATAAGGAGCAAAAGAAGCTGAGAGGAAAGAAGAATGAGTTACCATAGTAAAAGTCAACCTTATATTTTCAGTAGTGCTTAGATGTGATGTGATTCATACAAAACCTGAAAAGTCTAAGCAGACGTAAATATAGACAAGAAGATTCAGTTTAAAAATCGAGTAAATAATTGCCATTCAGAAAAAAACTACATAGAAGATGCAATAGCAGAATAAATGCAACATTTGTGGGCTATTTTCTCTGAGCAGCACTGCTGTTTTAATGGCAGCTAGGATAACTTCCAATTCAAAAACTTTCATTCTCAATACAATATCATATGTATTTGCCTACTGAGCAAGCAAAGAACTTATGACTCAGAAAAAAATAGCAAAGAAGTAAATGAGATTCATAAGGAGTGAAAACTTACCTTGGTAGATATTTTAAAATTTGAATTCATCAAATTTTAGAGACTTCCTTTATGCAAGCATTTCACTTCAGGTCTGTCACAATTTAAACAGAACTCAACTTGACTAGGAAAAACAAAAGGATGGTATGGGAAATGGCTTATTCAGCTTCACTGACTTCTCTTAGAAATAGCACAAGAGTAATAATGCAGAAGAAATAGCTGCTTTTCTGTTTGTTTGTTTTTTTTTGTAGTGGTAGAAAGCAAGCAAGCAATTCAAAGATTTCAGAAACAACAGCCTAGCTTAACGTGGGGTTGTGTTTCTTGCTGGCTTTCTTGTAAGATGCAATTACAACTCTGGGCTACAAAGCATGGAAAGTCACTTGGTTGTTCTGATGGATTTTGTTCCTGCCTGTTGTGTCTCAACCAGGTTCGGTTCTACTTCATCTGCATGGATCTATATTACAGACCTGAAGTAGAAACAAACACACCATAATCAGGTATTTTTGCTTTGGTCCTTTTCCAGGTACAAAATATTTAAAAGCCCAGTTAAATTGTCAATTGAGCCATTTTGTGCTGTAAAGATTGTGCAAACATATCTCACTTCACAAGGCCAGTGAACAGATCTTTTCTTCTGTGAAGGAGAGTTCCTTCCTCTGTCCCAGTGGGTCAGTGTCACAAAAGGCCACCTATTAGAAGGATCTGTTTTTAGAATCTCTGAAACCTTATAGCATGAAAGCATGTAAATAAAAACGGCACCAAATATTTTAGTCAGAGGAAAACAAACATTCAGAAAGAAATTTCAATTGTCTTTACCCCCCTTTTTTTTTTTTTTTTTTTTGCTTTTTTATAATGTTTATAAAACATCTGCTTGACTGTCATGGTCTCCTAGAGCAGGATGTATAATGGTGCACTGGTTAGCTGTCTGAAGGACAAGGAGAATTGCCCCTGAAGGAAACCACCACAGATGAAACCTGTGATCTCTGCACTGGAAAACTGAGTAATAGCCAAAACCGAAAATAAAATGAAACAATGAAAGTGCTAAATGACTGAGCTGTCTGTGGTCAAACTTCTTTTCTTTTATTGTTGCCATGTCCTGCCACCACAAAAACACTGAAAAAAAATAACATCCCTGGCCGTTCTCAAACTAAAAGTGAAAACATCTTTTTTATGGTGGTCTAGCCAACTTGTTTCAGACAGATGAAACAGCTATATAGTCCTAGATAAATAGGTAGATAGATAACGTAGATACTTATCTACCTTATGCACAGCCTTATCAGTGTATACTTTTAAATACTACATACTGACTGATAACTTATAGTACAGTATTTGTGTTTTGCTCCAATAGATTAGGCCATGGGTGGCAAACCTTTTGGCTTGGCTGGGCTGAACTGAGTGAAGACAAATTTTCTTGGGCTGAATATAAAATATATAATATAGTTAATGTATGTAACTAAGAACATGATTGTTATAGATATATTTTTAATTAAAACATAAAAGAAAGAGATCAACAAAAACATATGAGTGGGATATTTGATCTTCTTTTGAGAAATTAATGGACTGGTTCAATGGAAGTGGTTGCCATTTTCAGTGAGTTCTTGAGTTTTCAAGGTGTTTGCCAGAGATTTTTGATGAAATTTTGTTCCTTCTGTAATTCATAATTTTAAGTAATTGTCTATAAAGGCACGTACTGCCAAAAAGCAATGACGTGAATAAGGTGCGATTATGAGACAAGGGATATTTTCCTCTGGTAAGAGAGATCTTATAAAAATATACTAAAGAGACACGATCAAATTTATCTTTGAGTTGTATGTCTGATTGCAACCCTATACATTCCATTTGAAAATTAGCAGACTGAAAATGGAGTTGCAAATATACTAATTGATGATGTGCCTTAGCCTCACAACCTTAAGGAACTAGAGAGCATTAGCACTGGAAGCAGGCAGTGCTTATGGGTGGTCACCTCACTTAAGATCCAGAAGGGTTCTGCTCTTGGCGTTTTTGATTAATGACTCATCTAAATACAGGACTTGTTCATACAGTGGAGTCAGTCTGCAACTTTGAGGATGCTGAAGAAGTTTGCAGGAGTAATATGCAAATACACAGCAGTGTTTATTAATTGGCTTGCAAAACTCTATGGAATCCAGATACATAAAAACTACAGGAAAAAAAAAAAAATAGAAGAAAATACAGCTTTTCCAGTAGATGCCCTTACTGTCATCAGACTGTCATCAGATTTGATGGGACCTAAAATCTAGGAGTTAATGTATAATACTCTTACCTAGTATTATTTAATAATTTACTTATTATATTAATCTAAATAAGCTGAGGAAGCTGGCAGAAGTGATTGTCAAGCCACTTTCCATGTCTATCAGCATTTCTGTTCAACCAGAGAGGTTCCAGAGGATTGGAGGCTTGCCAATGTGACTTTCATCTACAAGAAGGGTAGTAAAGAGGATCTGGGGAACTACAGGCCCATCAGCATGACCTTGGTGCCAGGAAGGGTTGTAGAGCAGATCATCTTGAATGGGATCACATGGCATGTGTGGGACAGCTGGATGATCAGGCCCAGCCAGCATGGGTTTATGGAAATCTGGTCCTCCTTGAACAATCTGGTGGATGAGGGAAAGGCTCTTGACATGGTCTACCTAGACTTCAGCAAAGCCTTTGACATTGTCTCCCACAGTATTCTCCTAGAGAAGATGGCAACCCATGGCTTGGACAGATACACTCTTTGCTGTGTAAAGAACTGGCTGCATGGCCAGGACCAGAGAGTGGTGGTGAATGGATTTAAAGCCAGCTGGCAAGCCTGGTCGTGAGTCATGTTCCCCAGGGGTTGGTGTTGGAGCCTGTCCTGTTCAATATTTTTGTTGACCTGGATGATGGGATTGAGTGCACTCTCAGTAAATTCGCAGATGACAGCAAGCTGGGAGAAAATGACGATCTGTCAGGAATTAGGAAGGCTCTACAGAAGGATCTGGACAAGCTGGATAGGTGGACTTAGGCCAGTGGGATGAAGTTCTTGCTTTGGCAGCATGTGTACTAAAATTGGAACAATACAGAGAAGATTAGCATGCCCCTTGTGCAGGAATAACATGCAAATCTGTGATGCATTCCATATTTTTTGAGGAAGTTTTCACCCAGAGGGTGGTGAGGCACTGGAACAGGTTGCCCAAGGAGGCTGTGGATGCCCCATCCCTGGAGGCATTCAAGGCCAGGCTGGATGTGGCTCTGGGCAGCCTGGGCTGGTTGGTGACCCTGCACATAGCAGGGGGTTGGAACTAGGTGATCATTGTGGTCCTTTTCAACCCAGGCCATTCCATGATTCTATGATTATAAGTTTAACGAGATCAAATGCCGAGTCCTGCACTTTGGCCACAGCAGCCCCAAGTAACACTACAGAATTGGGCCAGAGAGGCAGGAAGACTGTAGAAGAAATGGACCTGGGGGTGTTGTATGACAACATGAGCCAGCAGTGTTCCCAGGTGGCCAGGAAAGCCAATGGCATCCTGGCTTGTATCAGAAATATTGTTGCCAGCAGGAACAGGGAAATGATCAGTGGAGAAGCTAAACCTCAAGTACCATGTTCAGTTTTGGGTCTCTCACTACAAGAAAGACATTGAGACCCTGGAACATGTTCAGAAAAAGGGAAGAAAGCTGGTGAAGAGTTTGGAGCACAGGTCTTCTGAGGAATGGCTGAGAGAACTGGGATTGTTTTCTATGGAGAAGAGAAGGCTCAAGGGAAACATTATTGCTCTCTACAACTGTCTGAAGGGAGGTTGTGGCGAGGCTAGGGGTAAAGGGTAAGCCTTTTCTCCCAGGTAACTAGTGAAAGGGTGAGAGGGAATGGCTTCAAGTTACACACAAGGGGAGATTCAGCTTGGACGTTAGGAAAAATTTCTTCTCCAAAAGACTGGTCATGTCCTGGAATGGGCTGCCCAGGGGGAGACACCATTCCTGGAGGCTCAAGATCCATTTAGATGTACTAAGGAACATGATTTAGTGGGGAAGTATTGATGATAGATGGACAGTTGGATTGGATGACCCTGGAGGTCTTTTCCAGCGTTGGTGATTCTGTGATTCTATATGTTCCCAGCTGTGCTTTTTACCATCTCTGAGGACTGGATTAATCTTATCATTTTTTCGTATGGTGTAACAGTGTTTGAGAAACAAATTTGGTATTTATATTTGATATTGCAGTCATCATTGTACTTTGGGAACCGTAACTTGGAAACTATTAATGATTTCACTCTGTCTCCTCGGGGAGCCACAGTGTGCAGGAGAAAACACATGAATGTTCAAACCAGCAGGTTCCTATTACTTGCCCACATAATGTTAAGAACTATTTCCAAATATTCTTCAGGGATCTTCCCTCAGGCTGAATAGTTATGAGTGGCCAAGAGTATGGGATGGTATGGGCAGGTACCACAAACACTGAGCAACCCCATTGTTTCAGAATTTCACTCCTAAACAACTGCAAAATCCTGAAAAACTCGTGAATTATTTGGTAAATTTGTCCTGTCACCCTGGCAAGGCTAGAGAGGCAGAAATCTCTGCAACATGATGGGGTTTGGACCATGCCTACAGAGGCCTGTTCAACACTAATCAGCACTCTCAAGGGAAAGAGATCTTTGGATTTGATGACAGTGCAATAAGCCCTGCAATTGCTCCAACCGCTGCTACAGCCCTTGCAGTTTAATCAGGGAATCAGTCTGTGCCAGTATCAGTCACATCTATACTCAAGTGCTGGAATAATGGAGCCCGTAACCTGGAATTAGTGGGAAGTGAAGCCAAGCAACAAGGATCCCATTCTAGGGAAAGAAGGCATTGACAAAGCAATTGGAAAAGGGACACCAACCTTCACCCTATAAAGATGACTCTTGTAAGCCATGAAGGAAAGGTGTCCCATCAAGGAAGATCTGATATGTCAGACAGGCAAGTGGGATATCATGAAGAAAGATATTCAGTAACTGAGAAAATTGGATGTGATGTACAATATTGACCCGGATGTGGATAATGATAATCTCAGGATTCAGATGACATCAGATGCTCACAGTCTTTGTGGAAGAAATGTGTACAGGGTGCACCATCATTGTATGCCAACACACTGATGGCAATGGTCTGGAAAGATAATGAAAAATGCTGGATGAAGTGACTAGCCTACTTCTACAATAGGCAGAAAATATCTTTTTCTCCCTACAGGCCCTGTGCCTCAGTGGAGAAATTGTCCAGATAGTCCCAGGAATTCAAAGACAATGTCAAAGCCCTACTCCCCATCTGGGTGGACCAATGTCTCTAGTATTAGAGGTAAGTATTCCTCTGTTCAAGAAAGAATATTCAGTGGGTACACACCATGTGCCACCCTTTGGTTTTACCTACATGACCATGGAGAGGACATGAGGAATTGGGATGGAAAACCAACTTCAGTCCTGGAGGCATGGTTATGTCAGTTGCAAGGAAGAACAACTGAAAAAGGGGGTTCTTCCAATAAAATGGCCACTCCAGTTTCCAATGGTCTCTCAGATGGAGAAGATGGTCTGATTCTATTTCTGAGGTTGCTGATGAGAGTAGGAATTTGCTGCTAATTGACTCTGCTGGGTCAGGAGAAAAAGGGTGGCAAGGACAGAAGCAAGGAAAAGTCCTAGCTGGCAAAGATCTGCATCAGAATGGTAGCCAGAGGTCATAGGCTGCTTTTGTGGTTTAGATTTGTGTGATGACCAGCTGGGCAAATCTACCACTTGCTTTTGACTCTGATACAGCAATACTTAATGCCATAGCTAAGCCTCACTTTGGGTCTACAAGACAGCAAGTCTCTCAGTAATTCCAGAACACAAGCACATTGCTGTGGGCTATGGTGCAGTGGTGATATGGTCTGAGGAGACTGCATTCTCATTGTTTGCTATCTTTTTTCCTGTGATATCCTATTAAGATGCAATTACAGAGGTATATGTTCTGATTGCATAGGACAGGCCTAAAAGAAAGCCACATACTTGAAGTTATGATATTGTCACTTGAAATACTTCTCTTTGGAATGGAAGGAAAGGTGGCTGTAACTTATTTATGTCTCAAAGAAACCTGGAATCCAAAATGCAAGTAGGTATCCCTAGGGTCCCCACGTGATTCCTTACACTGCTGCTGTAGCCAAAGCACATCCTCCTTCCAAATGTTACAATAAGTCTGCATCTTTCAATTTACATTTTCACATATTAACATCTCAGGAGGTGTGAGACACATACACAGACATAAGGCTGAGTTCCTTGCACTGAGTTCCTTTGCACTGAACCATGGGCTTTACTTCATCTCAAGCTGCTGAAAAGTCCAATGAGTTTATAAGACACTTGTTTTCCAGCACACCTGCCTTCCTGTGAGAACTCAGAGGTACAGTACTTTACCATCATGTCCTCTCCCCAGTCAAGATAGTTTTATCATTAAAATTTCTTCATATCATGGGACATCTGTGTGACTTTTTAGACTTCCAAGTGCAGAAGTTACTTTGGAGAATGAGTGCAGCCCTTTGCACCTTTGACCAAATTCTGACTGTGCAAGAACAAGCTAGATTTTTGTTACATAAAATAAAAGCTGCCATACTTTTTATTTAACTAGGGTATCAGTTAGATTCCTAAGAGTAGTTGTAACAGAATCAAGTTACATTGTCAGTATGATAAAAGGTATCACATCATTACTTTGTCCTTTTTACCTTATTCATTCACAGATTGAAGTTTCCTGGATTTCTGTCAAAAGAATTGGTCTTTTAAGAATAGAAAAGACCAATGTCATCTTTATACAGTTTGGGAATTCATCTCGAGTAGTCCAGAGATTAACAATATCAGCGATAATTGAGTCAAAGGCGTCTATGGAGTACACTAACAACAAAATAGACCAAGGAACAAAAGGCAGGTAATTCAACAGCACACAACTACTGAATAATCATTTTAACCTTACTAAGGGTCAGGATGGTGAATAAAATAAATAAAAAATGAACGCGTTTAAAGAAAGGTGGAGGGGAGGAACAACAACATGTTCAGAGGGAACTGGGCAATTGTGAAGAAATATGTGTACGAAACAGAAAATGTACAGCTGTTAACAGGATAGAAAAATCAATTTTACACCATATAAAGAGATACATTTACATCATTATGATTATGTTGGGAAAGGATTAGAATTTCACTTTCTTCAAAGCATTATTGCAATGTGTCATATGATTCTTCCTTATCTGATGATCATGATGATGCCTAAAGAATAGCACCTCTCAAGCATCACTCTGTTCAGTAACAGACCACCTTGTCTCCCTGAGCTGCCAGATCTCATGTCTTTGTTTTCCATAGGTAGATTTAATTAAATCAGCAGAACTGGAGCTATAAAGTCTCGCAAACAGTGGGAGAAACTAAAGGGGAAAAAACAAGTAGTGGAAGAGAGTAGAAAATGCACACGGACTCAGAGACTTAATGGCATAAGATCAGCAGATCAGTCCTAATACTGACATAAGCAAGTGCTACAAAAGAAAGCCAGAGAGCTGAATTCAGGTGTTGATGGCAGAGGAAAGCTTGAGCCATCATTGTGGGAAATACAAGTGTTTCAGAAATTGGGTAGTTTTTTTTTTTAATTCATTCTTTAAATACAATTCAAAAAACATTAATTATTTTTTAATTACAATTTTAAAATGCTTTTATTTGAGTATAGGTACAAAAGATGCTTGCACGTGTACAGGAGTAGCATTGGCCAATATCCATAAGTAAATCCATCCTATCTGCCCATATTAGAACACCTTCATTTCATTCGCTTTCAGCCATTTTAATTTCCCAGCCTTTCCATGCATGCTTTCCCAAAAGGGAGGAGAAGCAACAGGAATAATAGCTCCAATGCCAACTAATTCAGACTCAGGGAGTCACACATGTAATGGTTGTGAGCATCTCCTCACTTCCTACTCTGTCCTTTGCTGGTATGTACGTGATGGCTTTTGCACAAACTTCAGTGACTGCACTTGCTGAGGAAAGCTCTGCAGGAAGCAGAGAGTTTGTTGCTTTATCAGAACAGCTATTTTGAATTGTATCTGGCAATATATAGAAACCAAACGCAACTACAGGTTCAATTATAGTCTGTTCTGCCTGGGAAGCAGGTCTATGAG